CTAGTCAATTTATGAGTGCAGGGAATCTCAATTTCAGGAACACAAAAATGTTTTGGTTTTCCTCGGCTAACTTTAATTCGACACAGCAGTTCTCTTGTTTCTTGTAGGACATCGGTTGTTGTCTCTTTCAGATTTTCTAGATCCTCTACGTGTATTTTAGGGAGTTCTCTCTCTTTTGCCTGCACCACCCTCAAGTGAACCCACAACATGTGAAGACAATCAAAAGCCTTATCCCATTTAGATGCCTGGAATATATTAAAATATTTAACTTATTCGCTCACATCTATTTCGTATATTAAACGTATGGTTACGGATCACTTAACCTTGAGACAATGCATACAGATGAAATGAACTCTAAATAAGTACATAGGACTAATCGAATAAAAAATTGAGAACAACATATTACATAAGGAAAAAAATCATTTTGATATCCCCCCAATTAAAGATATTTCGATAAGAATATGACATATGACAATGATCAGGGTTAAGAAAAAGAATTCCAATGAAAATATTCTTCTGAGATGTACCTTTGACCAGTGGCTGCTATGCCTTTCCAAGCACGAAACAATTCCGTCTGGGAAAGGATCAAAGTTAGACTGTTCTATACTTATGTTGCCGAACTGTCCGATCTAGAACAAAAAGTTTTTTAAATTATGTAATTTTGTCACTATATAATCTTCTGCTGTTCTTGCAAAAGAAAATTATCAACTTTTTACTAATCAATCTAAAACCAAATTGATACACCTAACTTGTATTATTTTCAGCTCTAGCAAAAAAAAAAAAAATGTCTTTATAATTCACTGCTTTCTGTTTATCTCTTCCACATACGAATTTTAATTAGAAAATAACTTACAAATTGATTCAATAGCAATCCAATTTTGTATTCTGGCCTTTTCAAAAACCTGTGATTCACCAGTCTGGTCCCAATATGACGCTTGCTCTTTCCAGCGCGCTGCGAGCCAGCACATGGATTAAAATACTGGTCAGATATTTCCGCAGCTACACAGGGAGTAGAGGCGCCCTCAATCATCTTCACAGCGTCACACGGGTTGAAGTCAGAGTCTGATGTCACAACGCTTATATATAGAATCACAACTACCATCAAACCTGGATTGCGAAAGTTTTTATTGAAATAAATGTGATTCTGAGATTAAAAAGGTATTGTTTTACCATTTATAGAAAACCATGTCACGGTTATTTGGTTTAAAGCCTTTTTGTTAAGGCAGTCTATGTGACTTCTAATGTTGTAATCTGAAACTTAATCTGGTAAAAAAATATTATAAAATCACAAATCCATAAATATATCTACATTAATAAAACTAATAGTCCTTTTAAGTTTGAAGCCATTTCTTCTGTTAAAGGGTATCTATAATTCGCTGTCTCTAATGATAACTAAATGTCTACAAAACTATGTTTTTTAAGTTACCTTTCGTGATCATCTTTTACCAGGACTCTTACAATGTGCAACAAATTTAAGGAAAAATTAAATTACCTCAATATAACAGCTGCTGCCCCTTATATACTGTCTCTTCATCCTAGAATTTAATCTATTAACGGAACTTAAAACTTATCTTGCAATGCCTGGAAAAAATTAAAAATGTTGAATTTCTTTGTGAAACTTAAAATTAACCCTTAAATGTCTGGAAAAATCCTTAACATCGTGTCCAGTCTCCTTCTAAAGGAACGCTTTCTACTTCCCATCTTCAGGATTCAACCAATTATGCAGAGAGAAAAAAACCCACATATCAAACTCCGACGTTTTCCTGTTGTTAATTTTTGAGGCCAGATCAAGGAAATAAATAAACAAATAAGTGGCTCACAAGGTTCACTCTCATAAATATGACATGCTTTGACCAACTATTTGTCATTATTCTATAATTATTTGAAGATGTTTGACACGGTTTAATGTAATTAATAATCAACCCCAGTCAACGCTTTTACGATAACATAAATCCACACAGGTGTTTTCAACCTCAAGGATTGTAATCGTTTATTGCATATGCTTTAGCCTTGCGTGCTTGGGAGTAAACCACAACCCATTAAATCTTAAAAGGCCAAGCAGAGGTATTCAAACATAAAGACCCCTTAAAGGTCTATGATAATATTTACAGTCATGACGCATTTTATTTGCATACCTTAAGATTGCATTTAATTGACGGTCAATCTAGTATAGAAGCGTCAACTGTAATGTTTCCGATGGATGCTTTCTTTGGTTTTCTTCCTCAATTTAATTGGTAATTAAAAGGCCTAGAACACTTTCGATGACGAACAGTAGGTGTTATGACCGGAATATAGATAAATTTGACAATTAAACAGTAAAGCTCTTTGACTGTTACCAATAAACTACCGTTTTACTTCTGCAAATACGGAAACAGTTATAAGTGAAAACTTTGTTGTTCCATATCTGACCATTAATTGACGCGCGCCTCAAGTCTTCCGATGTGCATACTTGTTTCGGTAGCTGATGAACTGTCATATAAAAACAGTAAGGGCAATGAACATGTTTTATTTCAAAAATAGTTCGTAAAGTTGATAAAGAAAAATGAAAAAAAAAAGAAAAAAAACTCCGGGGAAATGTGGTTTGGGGTACTGGATGTGTCCAGAAAAGAAACCCCCAGAAAGCATTTTACAATCACATGTGATTTAAAGGCATTTACCTGGACATTTAGCATCATTATTATTCTTTTTTTATTAAACCTTTGTCAGGCCCTAGTTTTCAAAACTGATGTGAAACTATTGTGAAACATAGGTCAAAATCAAGTCAAGGACGAATCTTAATTTATCAGACATTCATGCCTACGGTAACTACTCAAGAAATGCAAAGATTATGAATTAATAATCCCACCACATCCTTGGTCGGTCTAGCCTTCGAAAATTCGTCGATTGACTAAAAAACTCAAGTGGACCAAACTATAAGTGACCATGATAATGTAAATGCATGTAGAATGTGTGAAAAAACAATGGTCAAAAGCTTTTAAACATTTTAGAAAAAGATAAACTCAAATAAAACGCGGCATTATCCGCAAAACACAGACATCGATGTCCGTTTAACTGTATCGTAGCTTTATAAATGCTTTTGCTTGAAATCTATTGACAGGCTGTGGTACGTTATAAATGAAACTGAAGTGTTTAATTGTATACTATCCGCAGCTGAAACTGAATTTAAGTCATATGTTCTACGAATACGTCTACATATCCTGCAAAGCTACTTATCTTTTCCAGTTAATTAAGACCACAAAAACGATAAGAACCCTCAAATAAAGGTACCTGATATTGATATATCCTTCTGAAATGAACAGGAAGACACGGCAGTCTGAACATTAGAGGAACCATTTAGAATTATTTTATTGGATTAAAAATGGTATAAAACGCAGAATCCAAGTGCCGGGCAGCTCGTCAAACAATGATTCGTGAGTGGGTGAAATTTTGCTTATTTTAAAGAAAAATTCGATTTGGCGAAAAATCCCGGATGGGATACCTTTAAGTTACTTTACCATGTATCAGGGATATATTAATAGAAGAAACAGATAACCAATTAACACTAGGAAGCAATAAGACGAAAATTCATTCCAGTGTTTGGAAAGCGTCCCCAACATGTTCAGGTACTTTGCACAGCAATGAAAGTGGTTTCAATATACAAGAGTAATATAGCTCTGCTCTTGGGTGGTTGTATTTGTGATATTGTGGTAAACCTGAATATACCACGAAGGCTGAATATTTGTAATTAATCTTTCAGCAAGGGAGGAAACTGTTTTCTCTATATGACCCTTGTTTGACTGTAATCTAATTGATAAAACTAGAAGTCGATGTCTTCTCTACATGACAAATGGACACCTCTTCTGCGCCGAAAAAAATTGTCTATTGTTCAACTCCCCATCTTTCGGTAAAAATGGCTTGAATTGCATTTTGGAGTGTAAGATCTGATAGTACAGTACACTTTATCTACACATCCCTAAAGAACAGATAAGTATCAAATAGCGATTGGGACATCTCTTATTTCTATTAGATATATTTATCTCGAGAGGATAGCAGATAAAATGGCGTGTCTTTTCTGTACAACCTTTTAATTGTTTCTCCAAGAAACCAGGATTTTAGTTTTTAATTTAGTTTTTGGTAATAAACGATTTTTATCTAGTTTTTTTCCTTCACTTGTATCCCTTGTAATACAAAATTCCAAACTTAATTCTAACTACTTTGTAACACAACAGCGCTTTACAGGATAATCGATTTCCAATAATGTATATTTTATATATTTATTGAGTAAATGATTCTTTATCTTATCTATGATCATAGACAATTAAATTCCATTGACGTTGCAAACAAATTTAATTTGTTAGTGGGACCACGCGTGCTTTAGTGCCGGGAAAAATTCACCTGCCTCAGTTTCATTGGGAATATGAGAAAGTTATCATCAGCGGACTTAAATGTTTGATTCAACAAACCCATGTTCAACTACTGTAAGTGAATGTGTGCACCACTATCCAGTACGGCTGCAGGGCAGGAACCAGCAATTACTAGTACAAAGGGGGTGTGGGCCTTTTTTTTTTTTTTTTAAGGTGGACCTTTTACCATAAAACCTTCGTGTTCATAGATCAATTTTTTCCCAGAGCCGACCTTTTCCCTGCAAAAAGGGCAGTTCTTTCGACCCTCACCCCCCCCCCCCCCCCCCCCCCCCNAGATCCAAATTTACACAGAGCAGCCCTTTTTTCTGACAAAAAGGGCGGATCGTTTGAACACCGGAAACCCCACCCCCCCCCCCCCCCCCCCCCCACCCCACCCGGTTACGGTCTTGGGCCACCAGTGCATGTACATTTATAAGTAATGGAAGAATCCTATGTGATTGTAAAATAAATTATTTCTGAGTCATTAAAATGTACTGGGTAACGATTTCTGTCCTTTAACAGTGGCATGAGAATAAAACAGAAAGTGTCAGTCATGTTTAGTTTTCGCCACTGCATTTTCGCTTCACAAAATGAAAGCGGAATTTGCTTGGCCTCAATATGAAGGCCACTACCGTTACCGTATGTGGGTACTTCAATAACACTGGCATTCAAACACGAGGTAAGTGAACACACAAACATGTTAGGTTTTCCCATCATATCTTATATGAGAGGAAAGACCAGATTATCTTAAGCGACATTACCTGAGGCGAACACTATGTAAACACTTATTCACTGGTACTTGCAACCGATTTATCTCATGCACAAGTTAACAGGTCGGTTTCCCTAACGCGATTCTGTAGTCGTTAGCTCGCCAGATAATACCCCTATTTCACACAGACCACGAATCCCACGAATCGCCAGGAATTGACAAATTTCAGGATTCGTGAGATTTTGCCAATTTTCTGGTCTAATTCGACACGCTCTACGATTCAGTTACGAAACAGGTGCGATAGTGTTACGTATATTCGTGGGATTCGGCTGGAATCGCACGAATATTGTCCAGAAATTCACTACGATTTTTTGGAATCGGGAGTTCGTGCCAAAATTTGGAGCAGCTCAAAATTTTTGCCACGAATTCCCGATTAATTAAGAATTGCAAGAACTGACTACGATTATATACGAATCTGTTAAAAAACTTCACGAACTGATTACGATTCAACCACGAATCCTGAAATTTTCAATTCCTGTCGATTTGTGGGATTCGTGGTCTGTGTGAAATAGAGGCATCAAAGTTTTTGCCACTAATTCCTGTTGGTCAAGAAGTGCAAGAACTGACTATGAATATATACGAATCTGTTAAGAACTTTACGAACTGATTACGATTCAACCACGAATCTTGAAATTTGTCAATTCATGGCCATTCGTGGGATTCGTGGTCTGTGTGAAATAGGGGCATAAGACGCTCACTCACCTAGCCTAGATCCTAGGCTACTGTACTGGTTGATCGCACTCGAGCCCGGCTGTCATCTTGTTTGGTTAATTAACCAAAAACCACAGGAAAAAAATTTAATAATACCATCCTAGTCTATTATAACGCAAGACGCCCTATCAAATTTTGTCAGGTATTTTAAACGAATTTATACATCCCCACATTTAAGTTATAACGGTGTACAAATACTGGGGTGCGCTAGTAATCTGTTCAAAATTGTTGTATTGCTCACACTGCAATTTTGTATACTGTTATAGGAACCCTTGATATCAGGTTGTACTGTATAACCAATACACATGTACAATGTAGTTTATGTTCTATATGAAATCTTATTCAGCTTCGTTCTGATTATGGTTGGCTATGACCCAAAGAGGGATGTAGAGCTATCCAAAACAGAACAAGGAGCTGCAGGTGCCCTAAGTGGCATCTTGACAAGGACATTGATACAGCCTTTGGATGTCCTCAAGATCAGGTTTCAGGTAAAAAATGTGTGTCAAGTGAATGTAAAATAAATATTCTAAAATAGAAGCAAGATGGGACTTACTTTTATATTAAATGTGTCATCAGATAATTAATGAATTGAACAGACCAGTTCTTTGAGGTTACTGTAAGTACCCTGATATGTTTTGCTTTATACTCATGATTATACATATAGCAGTTAATCAAATTTCATTCATACCTTTAAAATCTTTCCATAAAACTTTGGCTGAGGGTTTGATATTTGTAAGTATATTTCTGTTCCAAATTTAATAAATAAGGTTTTCACCACGATTTGTGTCATAAATAGTATTACTTTTTTCTCTTATATGTCAGCTTCAAATTGAGCCAATCAGAAGAGGATCTCTGCAGTCCAAATACCAAAGCATTCTCCAAGCAACTAGAAAGATCGTGACTGAAGAAGGAGTCAAGGCTTTATGGAAAGGTCATATGCCGGCTCAGGTTCTGTCTGTAACATATGGAGGAGTACAGGTATGTATACTTTCCATTATCTGTTTATTTGGAATAGTCTAGGCTCAGCTAATATATGCATTAAACACTAATGAAATTAAGTTCACTGAAGTATCAGTTAATGTCATGATATTTTTAGATTCTAATCATAATGAAGATGTTTTTATCCCATGTTCAGAAAACTTTATAATTTTTTCTTTAATTTTCCTACTCTTTTAAAATAGCCTGTATAAAGGTATGTAATAATTGTATTATACAATGGAATTGCTACACCAACCTAATAATAACATGTCTATGCATATCTAAAATGCAAGGATTGCATGCGTTGAAGAAAAAATTTTCTTACAGACATGTTAATTTGGTACTTATGAATGTCTTTAAAAAGCGTAAACTACAATTGTAGGTAATGACTAGGATTTCAGTGGCATCTACGAAATGCTTTTTTTTACCAAAACACTCTAGTAGTCTCCTGAAGTAATGTTTAGTTAGAGCTATTATCCTTATATCTTGTTTTCTCTGTGTGAAAGATTACATATGTCTGTTACTGTTTTTTTTTTAAATATATATACTTTATATATAAATGTTATGTAGGTTTTGACAGACCTACATGTACATGTACCAATGCCCCTATAATTCCTATTTAATAGGACCCATAGAAAAGTTCCTACAATTTCTATATTTTCCATTTTATGGAAACATTGTTCAAGGTAACTGCATTCATGTCAGTGATTGCCTTATCTAAGGGATGTTAGGAATTTATACTGGTGAAATATGAATAGATCTTTTTGGAATGACACAGAAATTTGTAGAGAAAGAGCATCATAGGCTGTAACTGCTTTTGATTTTTGCTTTTCCACACAATGTTATGCTCAGCACAAGTGATGAAATATTTTTTAGATATAAATCCAGGCTCATGTCTGGTTATGGTAACCCTCATGCTCAAATCTCTGGACACACCCTCCAAAAATAAATAAATAAATAAATGAATAAATAAATAAATTAAAATAAACAAATTAAAATAAATAATAATAATAATAATAATAATAATAATAATGATGAAAAAGCTCCTTTGCTTTGTCTGAAAATTCTTATAATATTCCTGTAGTTAGGCACAAAATCCCCACTTTTTTCTTTATTTTAGCAAAAAAAATCCTATTTCCTGCAAATATTGAAATCGTTTGCTTTTCAACATATATTTATTGTTTCAGTTTGTGTCCTTTGAGTTTTTCACTAAAGAAGTGTGGAATGAACTGCCATCAACACTGACCACTGACTACCGCCCAATTACTCACTTCATGTGTGGAGGCCTTGCTGGTTGTATCTCTACCTTGTTCTGTCAGCCAGCAGATGTTGTAAGGACACGTTTGATAGGACAGGGAGAACCAAAGGTAAATGCCTCAGCTTACTCTAGTCAGATTTTCAATGTTACAGGTTCGTACTCAGTAGATATGTAGAACTGTTTTATTTTCTTCAATCATCAGTAGATGTTTAACAGTGAAATGACTGCTTATAAAGGGAATCATAGTCAGAAATCAGTCAAATTGGCAGTCCTTTGTGTGCTTTAGAAATACATGATAATGGTTCATGAGTTCACCATTTTGTTGAAGGAAATTATGAATATATTATTTATTTTGCCAGCTTGTCATACATTGATGTTCTGCAAAGTAAGTTTTGGCAAAATTTAAAAAAAATCTATCACCTAAACAAAAGATAAACATAATTGGATAAAAAACTGTATTGTTTCATTTGTGTAAAATATATGAATATTTTTTGTTATTTCCTTGTAACTCTGCCCGTATAGTTGCTAAAATGTTTTTGTTGTTTCTCTACATACATTGGTTCTACCATTATATCACTTGTGAAAACTTTCATGATTAATAGGGGCTGATAAACCATGGGAAAAATTCCATATTTTCAATTCTAATACATAACATGGGAACATGATCTCTAAAATTTAAAGTGAGTTAAATGACAAAGGGAGAAGAAGAAGATATGTTTCTCCGAAGGTAAGATGACTATTGTATGTCATCATAATGACATGAATCAAATACTAAAACATTTCTCTTCCAGTTTTATAAGACGTCATGGCATGCATTTTCCACTCTGTATGCTAAAGAAGGTTTCTTAGCATTCTATAAGGGACTTCTGCCAGCAATTCTCACCGTCTTCCCTCAAGCAGCTCTGCAATTTGGATTTTACACATTCTTTGGTCAGCTGTTGACTTCTAAAAACGCATCTGAAATTAGTAAGTGGAGGGCCATTACACAACATTTTTGCCTCTGTAACATTTTTGGAAATTCTTACCTTTTTTCAACTTCTGTTTCTACCAATTTAATAGAAGTAAGTATTTACAGATGTGTTTTTTCCCAATTTTTAATGGAAGTGAAGTGTTATGTAAGGGGAAATACTGTAGAATGGTCTTTATTGATTGTCATTTTAAAAAGGAAGCTAGGGATTTAGAGCATATAAAATTAAGGACAATTGATTTAAAGCAGTGTACCTGTTTATTTTATTTACTGATCACTCATATTTTTCTTACATAGCTTGTACACAGTAGAACATGTTTATGCAATAACAAATGGGTAAACAGGGGTGGATCCAGAGCTATTTTCTGACAGTCTTCCAAATTATCTTTGTTGACCCATCCTCCAATTTTGACCGTCTTCCGAAAGAAAAAATTAGATACCCGTCAATGTAAACTTGAAAATCTGACCGTGTTCCAGAAGGCCAAGGAGACGACCTCAATCTGCCCCTGGTGAAAGAAAAAAGAAAGCATTTAGCTCAAATTTATTCATTCAGGCCATAATAAAGTAAAATATTTTTATCTGTCCATTCACATTCAGTCTATGTGCTTTAAGTTTAGCCTTGGGAAATTCATAAATATATGTAGAGAGATCGATGTGCTTGAAACTGATTTATTTTATTTTTTGTGTTAATAGGTGCAATGGATAGCATGACTTGTGGTTTCTGTGCAGGAACCTGTTCTAAGGCAGTTGTATACCCCTTGGATGTTCTCAAGAAAAGACTGCAGGTCCAGGGTTTTGAAGAAGCAAGAAAAACATTTGGTGAACATAGGATCTATAATGGCTTGTGTCATTGTATAAAGTTGATTTGGAAAGAAGAAAAATTAGGTGGTTTTTACAAGGGAATCACTCCCAGTTTGTTGAAAGCAGGATTAAGCACAGGTTTTTCATTCTTTTTTTATGAACAGAGTTGTTATCTCATGAGAAAGAGATATAGAAATGACCTAGATAAGTATAGATAGTATTGTCTTAACTCTTTTAATATCGTCAGGAACATTTTTATCCACTTCTCCAAATGCTCAAATGCTTAACAAGAAGAACACTATTTGTGAAAATATGATGAAAGTGTGTTTTACTCATAAACCAGAGAAGACTCACTTCTCCATTCTTTTTATATTGGCAATATTTGAAGTTTTCAGTAAATATTGTTTCCTCAATGTGTCGGGACAATTTATTAAACACAAATGTCCTCCAGTGCACAGGTAACATGGCACTACTGTGGTGTCTTCCCAACTTGCGTAGATTTGTTTTCCATGACACAGCTTCTGCTTATCAGTAATACTGTTAAGTTGTTCATTTTTGTTTGTTTTCTTTTGATACTCTCTATCTTCAAATTAAATATTTGTTAAGTGCATTTTCAGCTCAGGTGTTATGCATATGTTTAAAATTGGATTATATAGAGATTGTGTTTGTTTTAATTGTGCATGCTTAATCTTGGGAGATAGACTCTCAGGTAACAAAGTGGAGAATGAAAAAGGCCTAAGCAATTTCATTTCACATAAAGGAAAAAATACATTGAAAAAATATAGATATAAATGGTGGATGCGAAGGTTACTAGAGATTTTGTTTAACCAGTGACAGTGATATGCACAATGTAAAAAAGAAATGCATATTTCAATATATCTTTTAAGGCATACAATGCACCTAAGACCTATATATAGCATAAAGATTAATTTTCCGAGTAAATAATACAATTTTTCTAAAACACAAAGGTGTAACCTGTCCAAAACTATTGAGAAAAATTAGAAACCATACACCAACTTTTAGTTGTTAAATTTCTTTTATTTTTATAAGTGAATTTCAGCAGGCTCCACCTCCGTTACAAGTTGACTCAAAAATTAGATACTTAGAACTCAAAAGTGGGTTAAAAGACACCAGTTTTTTCAACAGTTTTGGTTGTGGTGTACCTAGGTGATTAAGGGAAAGTTGTTGAAATCTTCAGGAAAATAAATATTTTGCTATATAAAGGTCTAAACAAATTGTATGTCTATAAAAAATGATGTATTCATCATTAATGCTATAGCCCACCAATGAAGGGAGAATTTTTGAAGTTATTGCCTGATATAAAGCATTTTGTTTGTTAGATTGATATCTGTTTATTATCATGTTTTGATAATCAAAATAAAAAGAAAGGAAATAAATCTTATGTTGAAGATTTACTTTTTTGTAAAATCCTATTGTATACCAACATTCAGGGCAAGAAAGACATTCTTTTAGTATGCATGTTAACGTACTATAATCTCAATTAAATGAACAGGCACTGGTAACGTACACATTTGTGCATATTTTTCTTTTCAAACTATGGTAATATCTCTTTATAATTTTGAACCAAAAGGATTGAGTAAATGAAAGGGGTGGATAATTATTTAAATTTTTACCATAATTTTGGCCCTACATTTAATGAGAGAACCAGCCCCTGACGTTTTCATACAGCTCTGCAACCCTGCAAATAGTTTCTTAAGTCTTACGGTACATAATGTCTTTGCTTTAAATAATATCACAGTTCAATGTTATTTGTATCTTTATTTGTAATTTCAGATGTTGTGCTTTACCTTTTTAGATTGCTTTTCAACAGAGGTGAAATAAATTGAATACTTGGCTAAATGTAAGTATCACTCTTTATGAAATTAATAACAACAATATTTTTGCCATCGTAGGGTACATATTGATTGATTATTTACTTTCCAATGCTGCATATATTGAATGCCTTTAAATTTAAGAATAGCAATTCTCTATCTTCTTTTTTCTTTCTTTTTCACACTGACTACAATGTTGCCATTAGAAAATTGCCACTTTGTGTAGACAAAGAATAATGTCAAATTGTTTGCAGGTTTGTGAAATGGAGTATCTCAACACCACAATGGTGGTTTTAAGTACAGATGTAACTTGCAACTGATCAATACACGTAAATGAATGTTATAAATGCATCTCTATAAAAATCTATTAAACACTACTTTTCGTGTTTAGAGTGCATAATTAGAGTTGTGCTAGATTGACTTTCTTGTAAATTGTATTTTGTTGCATGTTGATAATATTGATTTTTGGTCACAGACCTACAGGATAGACATGGCTAATAACTTGTGTTGGTGTTGATATATTTTTTCAGCAACTTGATGCCTGTATGCTATGAAAGCTGAGATTTAGGGATTTAAATACAATATTCCTATAGCAAGTTTTGTGTTTAAATTATCTGTTGTGTTAGTTGTGCTCTCTTTTGATTGTGATATATTTGTTAGCACGTGGTAACACATTTCCGTTATTTCTGTGCTTCTAAAAACAAATGACCGTTATTGGATTGGTGTTGCTTTTGACTAATAGATCTGAAGAAAGAGATTTTATAATGATTTAGTGACATGGAAAATGTAGGAAAAAAGCTAATCCTTGAATTGTACATCTGATAGAAGCCTTACGTATTAGAACTTGACACCACAATGCTATAGATGTGTTCAAAAATGACACAAAAAAACAAAACGGTCACCAGCATGTTGCTAGCTTTTAATCCGGGGGATGTGCCTTTTTCAACTGTCTGCCTAAAACTTCTCTCCACCTTATTCACTTTTGGGCTTTTTTCTGTTGAGTGGGATGCTTAACTGGATTTACTTGGTTTATGCATCAGACTTTCAAGTCCCATGGAAAATGTTGGGCCCCAATTCCTGTCATCCCATATCCACTCTTGATAATACTGTAATGCATTTTGTAATTTTATAATTTGAGGTATGTATTTGCAGGTGATCAGGACCTGTAGTTAAAGCATGTTACACGCAATACAGCAATATTTTGTCATTATTCTCTGTCATTTTCTTAGAAGCTTTTAATCTGGTGGCCTTGCATTAAAGTGATTTAGCAAATTCTGACAATTGTATAGTTTTGAAAATGGGTAATTTACTGTACATTATGTTATTTTTATGAAGTTATCTGTCTGCTATAAGAGAGTAATTACACACAAAAATTGGCAAAAGACAAAAATGCATTGAATAAGCACAAATGCTTGGAACTGGGAATGTAATATATTGGGTTTTCTATCATTTACCACCTGCTTCTCAAAATCCAACTTTACTTCTGGATAAATATATTGTTGCCAATGATTGTTTTTTTTCATTGTGTTATTTTGACTTACTAGGTCATCTTGAAGTAATATTCTTTATCCCTTCGCTTAAGCTTTTGTGATCAGGTAACATTCGAATCAGTAAAAGTGATAGAGTGCTGCTTTTAAATCTAGTTATTTAGAACACTGACTACTTGGGAGTTTGAACAATAGACTTGTTTTAGAGGCCTTTTAAGAGAAGTTCTCAAACTGATTACTATTTTTTTCTTTCTTTTTCTTCGATGAAGGGTGTAATGAATGGGAAAAAATGACTGAAAAATAAAGCAGCTACAGTTTCTTTCAGAAGAATCCTGACAAAAAATTAATGAATCCTTTCAAGTTAGTGAGCTGTAAAGCTGATGAATGTAGTAATTACTCACAATTTTTAAACAACAAACTTATTCCAATATCCAATATTTTAAGACCAATCATTTTACCAACATAAAAAAATCTTCTGTTATTAAATCGCTACTTTTAATCATTATTTCTCAGATATCAGAATAGAATCATGGTTTAGAGAGACACAGTTAAACAGTTTTGTTCAAATTTAGTGAGCCTTTACTGTAGGCTCATAGTGGCTAGACACTAAGCTGCATAAAACATACACAACAGTTATTAATGACAGCACTCTGACACTTTCAATTAACATGGACTGGTTTATTATGGACCAGAAATTGTCACCAGTGTAATTTGTCTTTGTCAAGCTGAGCTTTTTGGTGTAGAAATGGTCTGATTGTAGTAGAATCAGCAGGTAAAATGGTCCTTAAGTAGGCAGATGAAAAGAATGCTTTTAGAAAGTTATGTACTGGATCTTTTTTTTTC